AATTAATTCACTAGCAGGCAGATGTTTAGCCATTTCCAGGAAAGCAGGGCTTCATTATGCATAACAGTCACTTGAGAAGTTAAACACTTCTCTTAAACACTTGTTAAATCCAAACATCCCACTCCTTCTTCCCAACAGTTTCATTGCAAGAAATAATGCCATACACTTTGGAACATCCCTTCGGTCATTTTGGTTAAGCTGTCCTGGCAGTGTCACCTCCCATCTTCTTGCACATAGCCAGTCTTCTCTTAACAGCAACTAAAACACTGCTATGTTATCAACAGTGATTGCTATTGTGAACTTCCTCTATCCCCAATCAGAAGCAGTGCACACAAGTAGCCTCATAGATTAATGATGGCGTTATGGATGAAGCACAGACAGCACAGAACGTTGATAATTTGTACATATAAAGACTAATTATGACTGATTACGCACACACACACATGCATATACATATATATATTTATTTAATAAAATTATCACTACCAATTGCCTCTAACAGGTGTGTAATACAGTCAAAAAGACCTCAAAGAGCCTAATTAAGAAAAAAAATCTCAGAAGAGACAGAATCCAAAAAGAGAGCCCAGGTGTGGAACCAAATTAATAATGAACAATTTCACAATGTGCCACGGAAGTTGCAATCAGGCAGATGAAAATAAAGCTTATATGCTTCCTTAATCTCTTAGGCAAAACTTCAGTATTCCTAGACAATTTTCTCTTTAGGTGATGAGTTTCTGTTATAGTTACTAATTTTTGATCTTATCACTGATATCTTCAGGATGTCACCAGTTACTAAGTACTTTCCTGCAACTCAAGAGTCCAGCTGTGTTTCTGAAGGATGCTCCTGGTTCCCAGGCTAGCACTTCTCAGATTTGAAGCATTTTCATTTGTTAGTGTTTTAGCAGGCATTTTAGCAATATTTTCTGTCAGCAGTTTTCCCACTAGGGTCAGTTCACCTTCATAAGATCTCCCATCAAGTTTAAAAACAGGCCACAGAAACTCAGAAATGTGCTCAGAAACCCTTTAACACTTCTGAGGAACATTTGTTAATTCCCATGTGCACTACTTAAAGATACTGTGAGGATCCACATTGCACAGGATCACATTCAGCAGGAGAACACAGAGTTACTGGTGCTTTCACCATCAGAAAAATGTTCAGATTCACCTTGTCAGCACTCACTGACTTAAAATTCCAGAATAATAGTGGAGAAAGTCTTGGGACTACTCTGTGTTTTGAAACCTCCAGAGAAGCATTCATCAGACCGCTGAGCCTCATAGTAAGTCACTTACACGCTATTATGTTAGTGGTTTGCATATAACAGCACAGAGCTGCACTCAGGTGCATTTTGACACCTGTGAGGAGAGCTTGGTCATTCATTATCTTAAATGTTCCTTGAAAGCACTGTGAGGACCTGCATCAATCAGCAGCATACTCAAAAGACCATTCATAGCTCAGAATTCAACCCTGTTGTACTTTCACCATTGTAAGAAGTACTCACAGCGTTCCAGAGCCCCCAGGAAAAGAATGGAGCACTCTGATAGCCTTTGAAATTCTGAAAGGCATTCGTCCATCACCCTGAGCTAAAAACCAATGTCGTAGAGACTCTGAAGGCCTCTGACATCTCTGAGAAGTAACAGAAAGTTACCAGACTGAAGCAAAACAGAATTTTCATGCTTTAAATATAAAAAATCTTTAAACATAATGTTAATATTTACATGAAAAAAAAACATTTGACATCCATGCCCTCAAAACATTTCATTTTCTGACACTTTTAAGCCTTTTTAACCTTTCAAAAATGTCAAGCTTAAACAAAAGCATTTAACTATAATGCTCAAGCACTTTTATGGAAATGCTTAAATAAGGACAGTGAAACAGAAACCATGGAGTAGCTTTGGAGGGAAATAAAGTTTTCTGCATTTTGCTCCTGCAGGGTTTACAGAGCATTTGCATTATGGACATAGTATATTTTACAAATTTGGTAGAATTTTAGAGGGATAAGGAGTATATGCTGTGTTTTATTATGGCTTTTCTTAATGGTCTGATTTTCCTGAACGTTCTTTTTAAATACAGAATAATAATGTGGTTTCTTTTTCCATCAGTGCCATCTACAGGTAGAGCCCAAACATCAGAAATTTTGAATCCTGAAGAAGGTTTTGGAGAAACCATTAGTCCAGAAGGTTATAATGAAATGACTTTTTGTAACCTGACTCAGGTGCAGTTACCATCTTTGTTATTATCCAGTGTCTGTCATGCTAAGAAATCAAGGGACAGGCTGCAAACTCACTTTCTCGCTTTACTCAGAGTGAGGTTAATTAAGTATTGCACTTAAATGCCTTCTTTTTCTTTTTCTTTTTCTTTTTCTTTTTCTTTTTCTTTTTCTTTTTCTTTTTCTTTTTCTTTTTCTTTTTCTTTCTCTTTCTCTTTCTCTTTCTCTTTCTCTTTCTCTTTCTCTTTCTCTTTCTCTTTTCCTTTTCCTTTTCCTTTTCCTTTTCCTTTTCCTTTTCCTTTTCCTTTTCCTTTTCCTTTTTCTTTTTCTTTTTCTTTTTCTTTTTCTTTTTCTTTTTCTTTTTCTTTTTCTTTTTCTTTTTCTTTTTCTTTTTCTTTTTCTTCTTAAATCTGTGGAATCATTCAAGAGTTAGCAGTTACTTAAGTGTAATAGCCAGGATGTTCAAATATTAGAAATGTCATGGAAGAGAAAAATTATTAAAACCTAAGCAGCACAGCAGATTTCAGAGAAATGAGCCCCACATTTGTAATGCTTTCAGCTGGATACAATTGAGTTTCTTCATCATAACCAGTACAGTGCTGTGACTTGGACTTACAATGAAAACACTGGTGATAATACCAATGTTTTTAGTTGTTACAGAGCAGTATTTGTACAGACCTAAGGACTTTTCAACTTCTGATGCTACCCTGGGGGTGCATAGAAACTGAGAGGGGACACAATCAAAACAGCTCTCCCAAACTGGCCTGTTTCACTTCCATACTGTACACAGCCACCACCACTGTGCTTTACGACTGTATTGTGTTAGTGAGCAAGACTCAAAATTGTTGTGGAAGTGTTGGTTTGGTTTTCTTTGTTACAATAAAGTATACAGATTACACTGAATTCATTTTCTATTTGTACAAGGCCTCATTAAGTCTGATCATAAGAAAAAGTACCAAGTATCCAGCAGAGAAGAAGCAAGGATGTGTTTTTTTCTAGGAGATCCACCTTTCTAAGGTTTGGTAATTCACCTCTCCATTTGGAGATCTTTTATACACCTTCTGCTGTAAGTAGATAATAAGTTCCACACAGAGAAGTTGACCTAGAGTCTGGAAATACATAAATAAATGGGATGCAATCCGCCAAAAAAAAAATTATGTTTTTAATTTGGGTGAATGTGTGTATAAAAGGGGCTCAATACACTTCAATGGATTTTTTAGGAAGACAGAAGGAAGTTGAGCATCTTTGTATGGGCAGGAATAATTCAAAGGTTCACTTGTGCCCCTCAGAATTGTTGAGGGACATAAAACCTGCACAGCAGAAATTATGCACTCCAGTAATGAAAAGAACATTTGCAAGAATACAAGATTCACTGCTTGATATGTACAATAGACCTGAGGTACCACTTCTTGGTGTACTTCATAGCTGCTGATACACAAGGACTGCTCTGAAAGTAATGCCTCCTATTTTCAGGAGGCATTTCTGTGAGTTATGAATCTGTTTTCATAAATTCATGGAAGAAATAATTGAGCTCATTATTGAGAATATTCATTGGAAATTTAAACTTGCAAATCTGAATGTAAGGTTTCCTTCAGAGAGCATGATCAGGGGATGATTCTGGATGCCTTCAAATCAAGATTTGCTGTCAGGCTCCACTTGCCTGATACCATCCTAGAAACTGAGTAAAATCCTGAGAGAATGCTCTGTGCTTTGTGTGACTAGGTTACACGAGTACAAACAACCTCTGTGAATGCAGGAATAGACAGTGTAAGGCAGATTTTTCCTTTGGATATCTAATTCAAGTAAACTCATATATATTCCTGACATAACACTTTTGCAAAAATATAAAAATAGTTATCATTTGTTTACATGCATTCAGAGCATCATTAGCATTATTAATCATCAGTGTAAGCTGAATGTGTTCTAAAGTTGTTCGTTATATGATGTTAAATAAACTAATTACCAATGAATACTGGAAGCATGAAAATATCATCTTATTCTGACTGCTATGCATTTTCAATTTGCCCTTACTGGGACATTGTAATATTTGCAGTGATACAGAATTTTGACAAAATGCTGTACTGAAGGAATTTCATTTTTTCCAAGTAGTGGAAAATGTATTTCTCTTTATGGTTTAAGTAATTTTATTTACCTGAATACTGACTTAATCCAATGGTCTTTTGTTACAAATGTAGGAAATGATCATGAATTGATAATATGGGAAAATCATTACTGGAAAATCAAAGAGGAAGAGCAGTAAGGTTTTAGGAGTAATTCAGTCTCCTTCAGTGACAGTGACTGCAATTTCAATGCCACTAGTTTTCTTATTAAGTTAGTCTAGTGCTTTTTTTCCATGAAGATATCATAAAATGCATCTAATTTTTGGACTAGGTTGATCTGATGGAGCAGATCCTAGCAGTTTCAGACACAGTGTGCATCTTTATATGTATTCAAAAAGAAAAAAACCTCATCCTTTAAAAATCAGCACTTTCTGTGTCTCATTCTGTTACTTACAGAATGGGCCAGAATCAAGACATAGTTCTATAGCAATATTGAACTAAAAGCAACTTTGTTGATTTGAATCTCATGAGGCACTCTTCCACTGTTTCCAACTTCTGATCCTTCCTATAGTTTCTGCATGCAGTGTTTTATAGTATTCTTTTAGTATCAAGTGACAATTCAAAAAAAGAAGAGAGAGTGAAAGAGAGACAGAGAAAACAGTATGCATCCAAGAGCTGATTATGCTTTTTACCTGGGCTGGTGTCTGAGAAGGCACATGAGGTCTTTCTCTGGGTACCATAGCTACATCTGCATCAATGATTGCTTGCCATTGATGAGTAAATTCCTGTGAATTATGGAAACTGTTGTTTTAATACAGACAGTTGCTTTACCTGCCTTCACGACCGCTGTGTCATGGCTCCGAGGAAGGCTGAGAAATAGATATAAGGAAGGAGGTTACTTCATTTAATAATCCTACATGACTTATTCACATAAAAAGAAATATAAACAAGATACACAGATGTTTTGGGGCTAATGCAATCACAACCACAGTTAGAGCTTTTAAAAGGTAACTCAATTTCTAAACCCTTCTCCATCCACTAAATACTACAATTGTCTAGTAACTCAATTTAAGTGATATTAATGGTGTCAGCTCATAAGTGATTTGAGTTGTTCCCTGCTTCACTCAGTAACTTCACAGACAGAAAATTTGAGTTGCTTTTAACTTCTTGTTCATAAGTCCCAAGTTTGCTGCAGAATGCAATGAGTGTTTCTGTCTTCTAATTTGAAAAGAAAAAGTACAGATTTGATTTGGAATTTAAGGCCCTTCTAAAATCTAAAGATACTTTTCATAACATAAAGACACAAAGCCTGTGCATACAAAGATCTGAAATTTCCTTTTAAGAGCTACGCTATTGGTTTTGTGCTTTATTGCCACGTAGAAAATTCCTTTAGAATTCTACACAGATAGGCTCTACAAACTTAATGTGTTGATGGAAAATGATGTTTCTATTCTGTTAAATAGCATATTCCTGTTTCCTGATATATTCAATGGGATTATTATAACCCAATAAATTAAAATAAAAAAAAGTTTAGTTTTTCTGATCTTATATTACTGACCTTTCCCCTTCCTACTCTTGACAGTGCTGTGTTAAGTAACTGTGTTAAGTGCAGAAACAAAAGTATTTAGGAAAGAAAAATGAATCTTTAATAGTCATGGAACAAATTACTCAGAAGTACTGTTCAGGTAAAGTTTATATACAACATAACTCAATTGTTGATCAGTATGTAGATAAGGATAGTGTAAAGTGGATACTGATAAGGTTTGTTTCATAGCAACCTACGTAGCAACCTGCATACCAAAAGCATGATCGGTCTAAATGTGATCAGTTTCCTTTGCCTGTCCCTAAAGTTCTTAGCATCATTTGCAGCACGATACATGTGCTCTAAAATGGACCATATATAAAATGTATTTTTCCTTTGTTTATTTGGTCAGTAATGTAGAACTAAAACTTCAGAGAGGTTTCTTGAGCTCTCAGACTCCCTTTTCCATTGTTTCATACATAGCTAAGGAGACTTTTATCCCATGACTCTCTTCTAAATGATTCCAAATCAACCAGATCCAATCACCTATACTCCGAGAAAGTGTGAGTCTTATTGAGCTAGTGGAAAAAAACCAGTGTTTCCATTTTAAGGTAATGTTATCTGTCCTCTCCCCCCTCTCCCATGGCCTGTCCAGGTAACTTTCCCAGCACTGCATTGCTCTTATGAGGAAGATTTTTTCCCTTCTATCCAGTCACAATCTCTCAGGCTGCTGTTTGTGCCATTGCTTCTTGTCCTTTTGCTGTGCCCCTTTGAGAAGTGTTTGTCTGCAATTTCCTTTTGATCCCTTGCTAGTATATTACATAATACCATAGTGCAGAGGAGCTAGCAGACTAAAGTTATGTTTTAAAAAGTAAACTTCTTACACTGTATGCCATGTGTCTTAAAATAAATTACTGATATTTTTTGTAAACTCAGCTACACAGAATTATCCTGATTTGCTTAGATAGAGACACAACTGCAGCTTTATAATATTAATATCACCATAATCCAAACACAACTTTTGCTTGTGACTACACACTATTGTCTACTGATCAGCTTTGCAGTTATAAATGCTCCAGAAGCTGAGCCTTGTTAAGTCTACTTATGACCTTGTCATCTTTTCACATTCAGCAGTCATAGTATTTTTAGTTTCTTGCTGCTGGGAGAAAATGTAGCCCAAATATCTCCATGCTTCACACGCTTGGATCACAGCTGCATTCTGAATCTGTGTGTCCATTTGACCAAGCTTGTTTAAGGATTCAGTCACTTATTCAGTCACTTTAGTCTTACGACTTTTCCAAGTGGAGTCTTTTATCACCCTCTTCTTTCCTTCTAGCCACTTGACTAATATACTTAACTAACCATATACAAACTCTGCTGAGGCCCATGAAACAGTGGGACTCACTGTGTGCTTGTCAGCCACATATCAGAGATTCCAGGGAGAAATGATGTTTTGGCCTTGAGTTGTAAGACTCCTTGGCAAAGCATGAAAACATGTGCCAGTTCAGACTTCCTTTTAGCATCCGCTGTCTCAGAAAAGGGTGGTTTTTTTCTGGAATTGCTCTGCCCAGCAATTGGAGTTTGACTATTAGAACTTAAGTGGCACTGCTGAGATAGCCAAATCAATGTGCTCAGGTTCTTCACTATGCACTCTCAAAGGCACATAGACACATTCTCTGCTGTTAATGGTCATGGCTGAGTAATTTTGGTTAGTGATGTTACAGGTGTAGCACAGCTATCAGTTCAAGTCACGCACAGAGTAGATCTGCTAACAACTGCAGATGACACCCTATCTGTGAGTGTGACAGTGACAGTATGTCCTCCATTGCATGCAAAGGCATAAGTAGACAAAATAGCAACATGAATGAATACTTTGTGCAACAGGATGTGCAATTCAACCCAGGTATTCAACTGATTTGTGGTGCAAATTTTCCTATGTGACTTGAACTACTGTTGTGATTTCAGAGTGGACCTCCCTGTTTCCATAAGGCTGAATTATAAAGGAAGGGACCTCAAATATCATCCAGTTCCAACCCACTGCTATGGACTAGTTGTCACCCTCAGATTAGACTGCTAAAGGCCCCAATCAACCTGGACTTGAATGCTTCCAGGGATGTGGCATCCACAACTTCTCTGGGCATCCTGTTCCAGTGCTTCACCACCATCTGAGTAAAAAATTTCTTCCTAACAAGAAACCCAATTTTCTCCTCTTTTACTTTAGACACATCCTGCATTGTCTTATCACTTTTAGACCAAGTAGAAAGCCAATCCCCTTCCTGGTTGTAAGTTCCCTTCAAGTACTGGAAAGGAACTTTCAGTTGCTTCTTTTCAAAGCTAAACAAGCCCAACTCTCTCAGCCTTTCTTCATAGAAAGGTAATGCAGTTCTTTAATCATCTTCATGACCACCCTCTGAACCCATTCCAATAGCTCCTCACCCTGCTTGTGCTGAAATTCCAAGCCTGGACACAGCACTCCAGCCAGGTACCTCATCACCTCACTTGCTCTGTTGGCCACCTCCCTGAGCACCTCTCAAGGCACAATGCTGGCTCATACCCTGCTTTCCACCTAGACCCCCAAGTCCTTCTGCACAGGGCTACTCTCAATGAGTTCTTCTCCCTTTATGTACACATCTGGGATTGTCTTGACCCAAGTGCAACCCCTTGCCTTGGCCTTGTGGAACATAATTATGTGCACATGGGCTTATTCTTGAAGCATGTCCAGGTCCCTTTGGTTGGCATCCCTTCTTCCATGGTGTCACATGTACTACTTAGCTTGGTGTCATAAGCACAGATGTGAGGCTAACAGGTCTTTAGTTCCTAAAGTCTTCCTTTCTCCCCTTCTTTAAAAATGAAAGTGATGTTACCTTTATTCCAGTCTCCATTGACTTTGTCTGACAGCCACAACTTTACAAATACAACGGAGAGTTATTTGGCAAACACATCAGACACCTCCTTCAGGACTACATAGCCATGTACACAGTCGGCCTCATGAGGTCTTGGAGTTGCTCTGCTCCTAGAGTGGGAAGGGTTTTTCTCCTCCAGATGCTACCTAGAGGTTCAGGAACATGAGAGACATAAGAAGCCTAATTGCCAGTGAAGAATGAGGCAAATAAATTGTTGAGTACCTCAGTCTTCTCCATGTCTTTTGAAGATCTACCTTCTCATTTATCAGAGATATCTGTTTTTGGTGAACACTGTATCTAAAGAAACTCTTCTTGATATTTTTCACATCCCTTGCCAAATTCAGTTATATCTGTATTTTGGCTTTTCTGATCCCACCTGTGCATATCCAGGCAGCATTCCTTTATTCTTCACAGGACATCTATCCCTGCTTTCACTGCCTGTACATTTTTTTTTCTTTAGTCTGACCATCAAGTCCTTGTTCAACCTTGCTGTTAACCTTGCTGTTTTTTTGCCTCCTCTGCTTGATTTCCCATGCTGGGGGATGGAGAACTCTTGTCCTCTCAGAAAAATGTCCTTAAATAGTTGCCATCTCTTCTCCATTCCTATGTCCCTAAGAACAGTATCCCAGAACACCTCATCCAGTAATTCCTTGATTCTAAACCCCGTGTAACAACAAAGCCTGTATGTACATGTAGTGCAAGAGCAGAATACAAACTCAATGTGATTACTAAAACTAAAGACACTTTTCTTTTGTTTGGTGATGACATGCTAGGAAGGACCTAGTGAAAACCTCTTCCAGCATACTGCCATATTGCCTTCTCTCCTTCCTTTATTCTGCAGAGCACTGAAGCAGTGAGCCTGCCAGGACCCCTTCCATAGGGGTCCACATACTTAGCAATGCTTAAAGTCATGTTCTGGTCTTGTGGAATGCCCTTATCAGTCACCTGGGGAACAACTGGTGGAAAAAAAGTGGATGTACCTTTTTGCAGACTATGCATCTTACAAAACAGCAACCAATAATGTATACAACAGAGGATGTCTCTAGAAGGTCATAGCAGATATTCTAGTACAAAGATGAAGATTGCTCGTTTGACTACAGTGCTGTGGCTAAGTCAACGTAGAATCATAGAATCATAGAGAGGCCTGGTTTGAAAAGGATTACAATGATCATCTAGTTTTAACCCTCCTGCTGTGTTCAGTGCTGACAACCAGCAGACCAGGCTGCCCAGAGCTACATCCAGCCTGGTCTTGAATGCCTCCAGGGATGGGGCATCCACAGCCTCCCTGGGCAACCTGTTCCATTGTGTCACCAGACTCTGTGTGAAAAACTTCCTCCTAATATCTAACCTAAACCTCCCCTCCCTCAGTTTAAAACCATTCCTCCTTGTCCTATCACTATCCACCCTCATAAACAGTTGTACCCCCTCCTGTTTATATGCTTCAAGTACTGGAAGGTCACAGTGAGGTCTCCCCAAAGCCTTTTCTTCTCCAAGCTAAACAAGCCCAGTTCTCTCAACCTTTCCTCATAGGAGAGGTGCTCCAGCCCTCTCTGATCATCTTCATGGCCCTCCTCTGAACTCGTTAAAAGGGCGCCACGTCTATGTTGTGCTGGGGGCTCCAGGCCTGGTCGCAGTACTGCAGATGTTGCCTCACAAGAGCCGAATAGAGGGGGATAATCACCTCCCTCTACCTGCTGGCCACCCCTTTTTTAATGCAGCCCAAAACACAGTTGGCCTTCCAGGCTGCAAGCCCATGTCTTTGTTCCACACAGATGCCCATGAAGCGGTGTGCTTGGTCCATCCTTACAGAACAGTGCAGCACTGTAACATTTGGACTTATCAATGAAGTCTTTGTATGTATTGCCTTCTGCAGTGGTCTCTATTCTGCTGTGCAGACATAGCCTGCCTTTCTTTGTGTCTCCCAGAGCTCCCGTGTCTTACTCTTGTGTATCACCAAGTACTACTTTTGGAGCAACATTTTAAGATGTGTTTCCAAATGTACTTTTCAGGATGCAGATGGAAGAGCAAAAATCATAGGACTTACCTAAGCTCACCTAGCAGGCCGGTGGCAGAGGCTGGAAGATTTCTCAACACCCTTGTCCACAGCACATCACCCTATTCAGTAGGCTGGGCTGATTTTGAATACTGTTTGCATTTGCAGGTTGTTACTCCACAATATTTAAAACCTTAATACATCAGATTCCCTCTTCCCATGTATTCCAGAGCTCTTCCTGTAAATGCCCTCACACATAAAGTCAGAAATACCTTGGCAAGTTAAAGTATTCATTTACTCCCACAGTGCTTTTTGGCAGAAATCTATGAGTTGTGCAGATTGAAATGGCTAGATCTCACAAACCGCATTTCTTCCAGAAAATATTAGACTTAATATCTGCTGTGCAACTTTACAAATATTTTAGATTTGCCACTGAGCTACATTCAAATTAATGTCCCAATACTTCCAGACATCCCAAGAAAAAAATATGTCTATAAGCAGTAACAGTATTAGTGAATCAGAAAATGTATGCTGCACTGGGCACGTACATGCTAACTTTTCCTGGAGCACAGCCATGAGCAAGACTGCCAGGAATTACACCTAATTCTAGCTGTCTAGAGCTAGGAGCTGTCTTAATGCCTCCTGAAGGGAAAAAACTAGAAAGAATATGAAAGCGTATGTCATGGGTTATTAAGCCAAGCACAAATACTAGAACAAAGCAGAAGACTGTAACCAGTGTACAAATAGAGAACTCAGGGTTCACTTTCTTCTTGGTTTGCCTATCATACACTCATCCTCTCCATTATGTACCCTCTTTGTTTCTTTGTTTACACACACTTTGTAATCTGGTTTCAGAGTTTGTTGTTTTGCTCATCTAGAGCTATCTTTGTGTCCTGTAAAGTCTATCACTCTTTGTTCTGTCCAGCAAACAAGACTCGCGTGCAGGTGCTAAGCTAGCATTTCCTGCCATATACCTTCAAGATATGTTTGTTTAACCAATTCTTCTCTTGTTGATTGTTTTGCAAGGACACCTTATCCTTCATTCTTTCATCTCACTTGCAATTTATTTCCAGTTGGAGCAGGAATCCTTAAAGGGAACTAGGAGAGTCAGATCCCAAGCATAGTTCTAACTATCATGTTTGACTTTTCCTGCACTAATTTTTATTTCTCCACAAGAAATCAAAAGATGCAATGAGTCAACAGGAGAAAGAAGAGAAGCTGTGGATGTAAACAGCTCTTACCCTTGACATAAGGGAAGAAACTGTAAATAAGGCAGGTTCTACTTCACCACTTACTGTCCCTGGAAGATAGTGCTGGAAACCTGTCCTGGGAGGACTGCAATGTTCATGCTATCAAGGTTCGAGAACATCAAATTTGGGTGCAGCACTGCTGAACATTTAGAGTTGCTGCAGTGTCTGAACTCTAACACCTCTACGTCTAGTGGATACCTATAATCATTCTTTCCAGAAGGCTTTCAGATAATGTTAGAAAAAACATAGGTACAGTTTTTCAACATGTGGAAGTTCATCAGATGATAGAGATATATTTCTCACCCAACACAAGCTGTGCAAAAAAAAGAAAAAAGAAAAAAGAATAACAACAGGCATGTAGGCCAATTTTGATGCTTTTGACTTTTGTTTTTTAAAGCAGCAGGGAGAAGCCAGCTCCTTTATGGACTGTGTATCTCGTACCATCTCTGTTCATTTACGGGGACAGAGAATATCTTAACAACTGCTCCTTGTCTTCTTGAAGGAGAACGTAGCTGGTTCTGCAGGCTACTTCTGATCTGCTGATAGGTCTATATGGAAGCAAAACAGTGCTTTTCCTTCCCTCTTACGTCAATTCAAATTGCTAGCTTAATACTTGATGCTCCTGAGGTTGTGATAAGGCAGAAAGCTCAGGAATTGAATTTTATCATATAGATAGGATGCAGATTGTAGGGTAGAACACAGGAATAAAGCAGAGTTTCAGAACCTCGGGTGCTAAAGTAGTCATCTGTCTGTGTTCTCTTCCACAGTCCAAGCATTGATACTTTATGGAAGTGACATACCTTTTTTTTGATATTGAGACCTTCTAATTCACTTGGTGAGAATGGCCTCATTTTATCTGTCTGTCAGTTTAACTATATACAGTAACACTTGGATAATCACTTCATCACTTCACTTTCCAGCTTTCTGTATTCATGCATTATATATCCTCAGGACACCACCCCAAGCCCCAGTTTCAGAAGACAAGCTGAGGAAAAGGTGCCTGTGTCCAAATACTATTCATTAGCATGCCAGTTACTTTTCTTGCATGAAGGCTGCTGATCTCAATTCAAGCCTCTCTTCCACCATTAATAAATGATCCCTGAAAACTGCCAGCATGGGGAATACCTCCCAGTAAAAGAAGGTAGTTTAGTTCTATTTGGACAGATGCATAACAAAATGTGTAGTTCTAATAAAGTACAATTCATTCAACATATAAGGTTACTTTTTTTCTCCCAGAATCCCAGAGGGAGCAATCAAATTATAGCAGCTAAGAGCCCTAAACCGTCTCACACATCCTCCTTTCTCACTCTCTTTTCTAAAACAGCCATTTCCCAGGAACTCAGTAGAGAAGCCTTTCTTGTTGCAAGTTATCAAGACTCATTACACTTCATTGCATTTTGTTCTCATCTCATTACTTATTCATAGAGGTTATAAGGACCTGTACAGACCATGAAATGCAGACTTCTGAGTTCATTTAAACCAACATAAAGAAGAACAACCTTAATGCAGTTAGCTGTGGAAGCAATTGAGTGTAAATCTGGTATCAGTGGGAGTTGATTCAGGACTAGTGTCTCCAAGAACTACATCTTAGGACATAATTCAGTGACAGTCTGTCATCTCTAGCACCACATATATATTGGTCACCATATAGTAATTTCTTCTCAGGCTACTACATTGTCATTCTGTGATTCTGTGATTGCAGCTCTTTTATCGAGTGATTTGTGTGGGCAAAGGTAGCATAATGGTGCCTGTACTTAGATGCACTACAACTAAATCATGTAGTATACTTAAATTCATGGTGTGATGGAGCCCAGTTTGAAAATGGGCAGTGAATCCAGTAGGAGCTCACTTGGAAGATCTCTGGTTGGTCGGCCTCTCTGTTCTGTGGTTACTGTTTCTTGTCTGGTCACCCTGAAGACCTGCAGGCTGTGAAAAACAGCAGTCAGTATGAAGTACCAGATGGTGAGAAATCCCTTTTGCCTGTCCCAATAAACTGTATTGTATGAGATAAATAAATGCTTCCAGTAATTTCTCCCTGCCATGTTTCAGGTGTTTGCTTTCAGTTGAACCTGCTCTTCTCTCAGCATTGTGGTATTCCAGGTCTCTTTTGTCTAGTTTATGATACCTTATTGTTTATGCTTGTTCAGTTGCTTTTGGTGCATGGGCACAAGTTTCAAGGTACGTTTGGATCTGAGAGATAGAGTGTCTCAGGAGCACAGGCAAGCAAACTACGCACTCCGGGCAGCACAGAGAGTTACGAGTTTTATTTAACATACACAAACTCACACATGCACGGACGTTCATTTTAGATAATCCCAGTAAATGGCAAGCAGTAACTCCCTAAGCAAGTGCACTTACCTACTCTTTAGATATGGCGAACCACCAAGGACAGAGGGAACATGGCAGTGGATGTGATAGGTGCTGCCAGCAGGGCATTCCCTGCTTCCAAGTGCACTTTTCCTTTCTCCATCACCTCAGCCTCTCTCCTGCTTTTATTCTCCCCAGGGTCTGCAAGGTTTTTTCCACTTGCATGCTGTACCTGCATGGCCAATGTGCGATATAGAGTTCAAGTGGAACACCTGCTTGCAAAACAAGTCTTTGCAAAAACAAGATAAACTACCAAGGTCAACTCTACCTACAAAACAAAATATTTGCAGCTATAGCCACAAATATCAGTTCTCTTAAAACTGTCAGAATACTTTGCTCCATCCCAAGATTGTTCTTCAGTCAGGTGCCTTGTGGTCCTTGACACAGCACAGAACACAGCTGATTGAAACAAAATGGCAGCACCCTCTGAAACAATTGGGGATAGCACTTATTGTTTATATCTTCTATAATACCTCAATTTGTATATAATACTTCTTCCAGATTTTACAATCAGAAATCCAAGCTTGCAAACGATAATTTAGATGAGTTGACCAAGGAACCGTTCTGTATTCAACACTCAGGCTTTTTTGAACTCATATCCAAATTAAAAGAGCATTCACCAATATTACTGCCAATACTGATAGTATCAGCAATAAATTTCTATAATGCTATCTATAAGAATAACACAGCAGTATTAAAGCTTTCTGTTTATCAATTCAAAATTTTATTAATATGGTTAGGGATTTTGCCTGAAGTACCATAGCTTCTAGTGGTGTTTCTCAAGTTTTTTTAAACATTATGCATTAAGTACTGTATTACTTTTTGGCATAAAACAACTAATTATTAATTACAAACCAGTCACACATTAGTCCTATTTATGACATACACTGTGTAATAAATGCATTCTGCTCTGCAGAGGCTTACAGAGGTCTTCAAACATGTAAAATAATCACAGGTAGACTCACCTGAAGCTTCCTCCTGATAACTGCAGTATTGTCTTTCTAGTTTCTCAAGAAAACTGGGGACACACTCAAAATAGACTTCTCACACCAGGCATGCTGTTGTTCTTTACTAAAAATCAAGAGCAGTCAGTAAGGCTATAAGCAGAGAAAAGTCTATGTGCCAATACTTCCCTTGCCTCTGATTTCTTTAAGAATTCATTTTACCTGTACGTGCCACAGTCCAACATCATACTTAGTCTTTTCAGTAAGTATGTGTGAGACATCAGTCAAGTTGCAGACAGCTTACTATGCCTGATTTTCCAGCCACATGTTCTTCCATGGCTGAGCTATGTCAAATGAGGAGATAAGGGCTAGATATCCTTCATATTATTTATTAGTCTGTATGTTTCAGTGAGATTAAATGTACACACAAAAATACGTCAGTACTTATGAAATCTACTGCACAACAAAAGAGATATTATTCAGAAGTAACAATAAAAATACTTCCATATCCTCCTTCTAGCAATACACACAATTCTTAAAGAAAAATGATAGCTAGCTATGAGATGGCAGAGCCTTCACCCTCCTAAAGATGTAGGGTTTATTTGCCAAACATAAGAAACGTCCATCACCTAATAAATTGCTTAAGAGGAGGGAAAAAAAAAAAATAAATAAAAGGACAGAAGAAAGAAAGAAAAGATCAACTATGTTTTAATCATTCTGTTGTTTCACCTTGCAGAAGAAGCCAGGTCATGGCCTGAACCAACAGTTGAACACCAGGTGAGAAACACCCTGCTAACCCAGGGAACACAGCGGAAGCAATACACCTGAGTGACTGGGAGAAGCCTGAATCCATTCCTTCTCACCCTCATTTAAATGTTACCAGCCAAGGGAGTAGCATTTTTTTAATAGGTTGCACTCCTCTTGAGCTGTCACTGATTGTTGGAAGGAATTAGCCAGTTTTCCTTTGTTACCTGCTTTTGCTCTGTAGTGCCTGCATTCCATTAGAAGGCACTGTTATTGCCTTCTTTTGCCATACACACCTGTTTAGCTCTAGTTAGTTCATCAACTTGTGCTCAGAAGTACAAGACTTAAAGTGATGCAGCAGCTGGTCCATAGAGATTTACAGTTTTAAGTTTTACCCTTGTTTTGTCTATAATATATACGAATGTGTATGAATGAATTCTCCCTGGTGTAGAGTTCAAAATCAAAGAAAAATCATTTAAAAAAATGCTGAAAAAAGAAGGCTGTGAAAGGGCTACTGTAAGCCGTCATGCTCCTGCTCAGTCCTAGTGCAACAATGATAACTTAATGTTGTCTATTTCAGGAAAAAACAAACAAGCAAACAAACAAAAAAAAAAAACCCTAAAACAAGGGATTTTCATTAACAAGATGTTATATGGGAGTTTTAGGTCCCAGGACAGAGCAAAATTATATGCAAGAAATGAAATGAGTCAGTTTTAGGATGAAAGGTTGTTGCTGCCTTTGGCAGAAAGTACCATGGGGAAAGGTATCACTGGCTTGCTTTTCTCTGATCTTTGCCAGCATGCTGCCTGCTGTATCACACTCCTTTGTCGAAGCTGAAGACCTGCCATCATTTTCATGGTCTGCTAAGAAAAATGTCTTGAGATGTGTACTGTGATCTTTGACTCCTTCCAGCACCTCTAGCACTATCGTAACTAATCACAGAAGATGGCTATTCCTCATTTGCCTGCAATACTGGCCTCCATTTCCTCCATACTCCTGACCCTTTCTTGGTATTGGTTTAAATTTAAGGTGGTTTAATTAAGGTGACATGCCAGTTACAGGTGTGCACTTGTATCTCAGTATCTCTACAATTCTTCATTCTGTTTTTATCAGTTAGAAAATGCCTACCTCTAAGTCTTCTGTGCTTCATCAATTTGTAGCCAATATCCACCTTATTTGCCTTTTTATTTTCCAAGTTTTTGTCTTTCACACTCTAGTTATCTCCATTAAGTTATTTAGTAGAAATAATGATTTTTTAAAAGGCTTTATAAGCATATAAGCATTTCCTTGGCTTAAACGGAATATATTCTAATATATTTTGCAGTGAGGTGGAGACATCTAGTGACCATTTTGTATTATTTAAATAAAAAGAATAAGAGAGCAAAAACCTCCTCCAAATCCTTGAATTGGCCTTTTAATTGTATGTGCATCTTAACATATTTTCCCCAAATCCACTGACAAAGTAATTTTGCCAGTTCTGTGCACGGGAAAACAGTGACCAAAAGTCACTGGCTGCTGAGCTTCCAGAGCATATTTTCTCCTTTTCCCAGGTATCTTACAGGCCATGGACTCTGCAACAAATAAATCCAGAAGAATGCTAGTAAAGTCAGTCTAGGTTTACATCACTGGCAGCAAGGACGCCCTTTAATGCCTAAGTGCCAATACTAATATCTTCCTCATGCTACTTTACTGAAATAAAGAATCTGCCCTGAAATATCTTAACTGCAACGTCAGGCAACACGAATTATCTTCAACTGAACCATCACTTGCCTGATCAGGGAAGGAGGAGATGGCTCCTTTCAACAAAAATGCTGTAATCTTGAGATTGTCTGCTTCCTCATTTAGGTGCCTAAGGGTGTAGACATCTAAGCTGTTTACTTGTACTTACTTTCTAATCAGTAGAGAGAAAGTGCTTCCAGGGGCCTATCATCTATCTTACAAACCAGATGAATGATCCCTGAATGTCCCCAACAGGAGAAAGAGGTGCTAAAGGAGAGGAGTTGGCTTCAAAGTACGTGCACTGCTTATCATCCCAGATACATAAAACAAAGCAGGCCCATCTAACGGTGCTCATTTCTCTTGTCAGAAACCTCCATTCTGACAAGGATGACTGTCCTAAATCACACATGAATTAGACTATTGTGGCAAGCCAAGCTACTAAAAATGTCCTTTGCAAGTGAGTTTCCCTTCCCCTACAGGCTGCTCAAAAATGGCACAATGTTAAATGTAAACTCACCTGCAAACATCCTACTGAATGAACAAAATCTTAGTGCATGGTACAGCTAACTGTTAGAGTGGTACACACTGGAGAAGCCTGTGGGGTACAAGAAGCAGAGTGTAAACAGTTATACCAACTAACAGGCAGGGTGAATACATTCAGATCCCTCCACAGCAGTTATCCTTGAACAGTGTAGACTTGCCTGCGACATCGTGAGGCAGATGGAGGCTTGGCCCAGAGGTGACAAATCTTTCTCTTGCACAGCTGATAAAGACGTTATAAATTTAACTCTGTGTTACCATGGCATAAAGTAGGAAGATACATGTGCATATATTAAATAGTTTCCTAAAAATTCTTCAAACAAAAAGTAGTTGCAATGTTTCACAGTGCTACTGTGGCCTTTTAGTGAAGGAGTATCTCATCTAGGGATATTCAGTTTTTTCCTTCTTGCCTCTGAAATGGAAATAGTCACTGTTTTTCTAGAATGTACAGGGCAGTTCAGCAAGTCTTTGAGTATGGCTGATGTGTTTACATCCACTCCAAGTCACTGAAGTAAAATAAAAAAAAAATCAAGACACTTGATCTCTCTTCTTTTTCTTTACGTTGTTTGGTGGGCAGCATATTAAATTACCATAAAACCAAAAAAATTGAAATTTGTGTGTGAAGGAATATCTCAAAGAAAAAAAAAAAGTTGATATAATAATATTGGTTTCAAATCCAAATTTAAAAATTAATTTTATTCATTTTAGAATAATGAAGCAAAAAAAAAAAAAAAAACCAATATATGAGATGTTTCAGCAATGTCTTTCTCCCTTCATCATTACTTTCTGTTTTCAATTTTAAACTAGCAAAGTTTAGGAGGAAGTGACTTGACAATCACAAACTGATTTTTCTGTTTAAAAAGGTTTAAGTGTCCAGTTGGTTTGAACAGGACATGAGCGTACTCTGCGTGTTGGCAGGTCATGTTCCAGATTAAAATTACGAGTGGGCTGGAGGTCACAAATTATGAGCAAGTTGATAAAAATCATAACTATAGTGTTTTTGTCGAAGATACATCAACAGGAGGAGCTAAAAATAATGATACAAAGTGAGAATTTATGTAAGAAAAAAACGAAGCATCTAGTTTCCTTCCATTTTACAGACGGCTAAACCTTTATTTTGACCTGTTGTGGTGTTATAGGTGGGAGGAGGCCAGAAAGGATGTCATGTGGGGTACTACTTCAGTGAGTCCATTTTAATTACAGATCTGAAGACGTTTCTTCAAAATGGCTAGTGAGGTGATTTATACAGAGTTACAACCTAAGGAGAGTGTACATTGTACTTCACAGACTGCAAATGCAGGTAACAAATGGCCATCTTGATATTACTTACTTACGTGTTTTTTTCTTCAGCAATACGTTCTTAAAACTTTCCTTTTTTCTTTTTTAATTGAAACATCCATAATATGCTGAAATCTTGTTCAAAGCATTTTTAGAAATATTAATATTTGTCTATTATATATTAATCTACTTGGAAAATTTATGTTTATTAATAGAACGAATATTTAATTTTATGAAAAGTAAAGATTTACCTCTAAAATCCCATTCTGAATTACAGTAGAATGGCTGTAAAGTGCTGCTTGTGAAATATGTAGAAACGCAAGATATTAATACAAATTATTACAATGTGCATTAAAGTGTGCAGTTACAGTGCTCTAAGGACATTGAATATATTTCTCCCTCCTGCAGCATAACTATATTTTAAATTTTACTTTGATTATTTTTCTTAAACAACAGAAATATTTTTTTAATTGTATAACGTCTTCCATTCTTTTCTTTCATTCTTTCTCTCTTTTCCTCTGTCTGTGTGCCATTCTCTTCTCCTCTTCTGCAAGTTGTATGTTAAGAAAAACACAATCAAGAATCAGTAGATATTTCTGTTATATGGTCATATGTGTATGACCTATTGATGCCTTCTACCATAAAACTACATTACTTTAAAAATGTATTTTCAATAAAGTGCCAGAGATATTCGCTCATGGATTTCATTAAAGCTTTAAAACCAATTTATCTACTTACCTTTTTGTTTTTTCCAATCAAAAGAATAGGTCTTTGTTAGCAATGAGACAATTAAACATGGAAAAACTATTTGAAATTATATTCAGAGGTGACAGCATGAAAGTCAAAGGCTTCCAGAATGAAAGCAGCTTTTATTCTATAAAAATAAATTCTGTTGATTTTCTTTTTGGTACGTAGAACTAAAAATATCTGTATTAGTGGTCTGCCTTCAGCTTTCATATGTTAAGTCAGTTTGTCCATTAGACTGCACGATCACAACCAGTTTGCTTCCGAAGAGCCAAACTGTCAGGATATCTC